CAACAGACCCGCGAGAATTCAGGTAAGCGTCGGAATTCTCATTCCATCATCTCAAAGCATGCCTCCTCGATGCCCACGCTCCTCCAAACGACCTCCCATACCCTCAGTCACACTCCAGATACCCTGCAAGAAAGAAACGTCTCCCCGAGTTGAGTTGTCCTTGTCCAAATCATCGAGGTCGAATAAGATCATAAACCAACTACGTCGATAGACATCATAAGACATATATCTAATAATCTCAACTTCGAGTAAAAATGAAACGTTGATATAAACATAAATATGATATTAAAGTATACATGTGCTTGAGCAACCAAACTAAAACCAAATGTATCTTAAAAATGAAAGCACCATATGGAAATGGAAGAAGAACAATTTCAATAAACTCAGTAACTTCAATTACAAAGTAGAGTTAGGTAACTTAGCCACAAACAAAGAGATCAAAATTCCAAACCTTTTACATGTAATTTCAGCCAAACAATCTCTACTTCTTACACCTAACTAAACCTCTTTGCTTATAAAACCTCACCATCTTGGCTTGGATTTAATATCTAATAACAATGAGCTACTTAAGCGTTTATCAGCTCCATTTCATCTTCGGTCTCTTGGGTACTATTCGATTATCGTTTTCATTTTTTTTTTGAATCAAAATGATGGGTTTTTTAAATTGATTGATTTCGTTTTGTTTTTCAGGTAATTTAATATCGTTTATGGTGTTTCTAGCTCCGATGTAAGGTTTCTGAATTCTCAACGTCTATTACTGATATCGTTGTCGTAACATGTTGTTGTGTGGTGTGTATTTTAGGCCAACGTTTTGGACGATTTATAAGAAGAAAACGTCGGAAGGGTTCCAATCTATACCTTATTTGGTGGCATTGATGAGTGCAATGTTGCTTCTTTATTATGGTGCCCTTAAGACCAATGCCATTTTGCTAATTAGCATCAACTCTTTTGGATGTTTCATCGAGCTTGTCTACATAGCTCTCTACCTCTTTTATGCTCCTAAGAGAGAAAAGGTCACTCTCTCTATCTCTTTACATATCTAAAACAATTCAACATGATTTGAAAAAAGGAATTTGAAAAAATATTCGAGTACGGAGAAATAACACTACTATCTATGATTCGAATCTTCATAAAGATAGAACATCTAAAGTCTCTTTGGATAACTATTTGGTTTTGATTTTTGAAGACCGTGTTTGATTTCTATTCTCTTTCTATAATAGGTGTTGCGTTAGGTTGAGACATTTTTATTAAATCATGAACCCAATCGACTCCTTTGGAGTCTTAGTCATTTTTGACTGCCTTCGTACCTTCGAGGAGGCTTGACTCCTTTTGGAGTCCTTTGTTCGACATTTAAGGATTTGCCAATCTATTGACACGGCTAAGTTTAGGGCATGGCTCTGATACCATGTTAGACGAACACGACTCTCCACAATGGTATGATATTGTCCACTTTGAGCATAAGCTCTCATGGCTTTGCTTTGGGCTTCCCAAAAGGCCTCATACCAATGGAGAGTGTATTCCTAGATTATAAACCCATGACCATTCCCTAAATTAACCGATGTGGGACTTTCATCATCCAACAGTGTATACGTTCATAACTCAACCCAAATAATTTCATGACCCAACTCTAATAGTACGAATTGGGTTGCGTTGTTCGAGTTTTTTAGGTTATCTGATTTTGTTTAACACTCCTATAATTTCGATAAAGCTACCTTTTCTCGTTTTCAGAACTCTGTTTCGCTTTTGAAATAGACTTAAAAAAAAGATAACAAAACAGCGGTTACAGATATAAGAATCAAATGGATATCAAGCGAGATCGAAATTTAACGTTCTTATATCGTGGTTGCAGATATTGACGATGAAGTTGTTCGTGGTTTTCGACTTAGGGTTTTGTGGAGTAATATTGGGTGGAACAATGTTGTTTCTTCATGGGATGAAGAGAACAAATGCTGTTGGATTGATTTGTGCAGCTTTCAATCTTTCTGTTTTTGCTTCTCCTTTGAGCATAATGGTTCTCCTTCTCTCACTAATTTTATTTATTTTAATTTTTTCTTATTAAAACGAAATTTTATTTATAATTTTTATTGGCATTTCAAATTTATTTATATATTCAAATGAATAAATATTTTATTAGGTCAATTATAATTTTTAAAAATTAAATCTTTATTTTTTTTTTTTTTTTTTT